TCCAGGACTTAATGATTTTTTTTTCCATATAGTTGATTTTAACAAAATTACGGGATTAATGTTATGGTAATATCAATCTATCATTGTTTTAATACGCATGCAAAATAGTGGCAATACACAAGTTTAAAAGAACACTGACGTGCACTACGAATGTTAGATGATCATTATGCATAGTGAAAGGCTTAGGTAAATAGGTTTGTTTTGTTTTATGTTTGTTTTTGTATTATACTGGTATATATTATATATATATATATATATATATATACATATATATATATATATATAATATTCAAATTAGGTTAGCTGCATTGCATAGTAAACACATACAGGCCCTTAGCCAGATCATTTCAAGGGGGGTTCTCTGGGCGTGGGGTTCGAATCCCCCAAAGCCAGAGCAGTTTTTGTGTTTAATGGGTCTATATAAAGTTTTAAAAGCAGATTATGTTTTGAAAAAGATCTATGTAATAAAAAGGTGGTAATATAATAAAATTAGAAAATATTTTCTGAGAATTGGCATTTTTAAATAACACCGAAAGATATATAAAAAAAACCCTCATCGCATAATCAATATCAATATACTCAACACATATATTATTATAAAACAAAAAAAAAATAGCTATTCTTCTTCCTCCTCTTCCTATTCTTTTTCTACTACTTATTCTTGACTCTCATTTTGTACACTGAAAATAATAGTACTATTTTATTACATGGCTAAAAAAAAAGTACAAATATTGTCGTTACTATTGACAGGGCCATCGTTAAATTAAGTCAGAGCCCAAAATATAGCATCATATTCAATACCGTACGTTATCTGACATCATGAGAACCTAAACTTTAATACAATTATTTGTTAACTAGGCCTAATTCGAAATTATTATTTTATTACTTTAAAATAATAGGCTACATACTGATTAATAATAGCTGAAATTTGATGGACATTAGAATTAATAATCGTTTGTATTATATCTTCCTGAATATTTAGTGTCTGCCAAATGAAATATGAATTATATGCATTTTTAGAAATACAATTTCTACAATATTAATCTTGTTTTTATATAGATAAATGTTCGATATATTCTATCTTTCATAAAAAAAAAAAAAAAAAACGAACTTCAGCGCGTCTATTTTCATTCTAATCAATCAATGGCGTTTGTAAACTTGCACTGACGTCATCGTCGAATTCCAGGACTTTCGACGGTAAAGCTGGTAGGGCTGCCCCGGTCCCAGGCCAACCAATAATAATTAACAAAATGTGTTTTTTTTTAAATATAGGCCTATGGCGCATTTTGTACATGCACTTCAACTTTTACAACAAAAGCCTAGGCCTAGTACCTGTAGTACGTCCTACTGTACTTAGGCCTACACTAGTTTGTTGTCGGGGTATAATTCTGTCTCTAAATGAACGAGGAGCCAACCTAGCTAGTCAACATCTAGGCTAATTGATTTTGAAATCAATAACCCACCTTAAAGGACTATTTTCTTCTTTGCAACAGCGGACGAAAAAAAAGTAAGTTATTCTAGGACGTTTCATGATTCTTTATCACTAAAAATTAACAAACACTCGTTTTCACGGCACTCCGTTCTGTAGTGTGTCTGCTGTTGAAAACAAACTTCCTAGCCTAATTTTGTGACTGGCTATGATTATACTCTTTGCTATGATGACTGAGATGGACCATGTTGATTTATTAATTATATTTTGTTTGGGATGGAAAAAAGGAGAGTCAATTTCCCCAAAATGCTCCAACAGCACATAGTTTAGTGTGCGCTTTGGACAGTATGGCTATGGAATTTACTAACCACACAATCCACAATCAGGTGATTAAGTCGCAAAACTTTATCTGCATTTAATGCATTAAGTCGCAAGACTTTAGCTTCGTTTGGTGGCACCATTTACTCTAGGTAGACGGCGACCGGGTTCGTTAATAACTGTTGGTACATTTCTTACAAACATTCAGCCAAAGGCCAGTGAAATTTGAGACGGCAGCCGGGTTTTTATTGATGTTTGCCATTCTTATGTGTGCCATCGTAAAGTCATGGTTTGCTGGAGTTGCGTTCAATTTAAATCTCCGAACTTCTGAAGCTGAGATATTCTATGTGCTAGAAAACAGGGGGGGGGGTTCGCAAGAAAAGGGGGGTTCGCCCGAACCATAAACCCCCCCCCCCCCTGGCTACGGGCCTGACATATAAACAATAGATAATTGTTAATAATAGGCCCTAATAATAATAATAATAATAACAGTGCTCTGGTAGGAACATGATGTTAGGCTACAATCGTATCAAGCGTAGCTCTTTTCGAAGAGTTCCTTTTTCAGTTGCATGAAAAAAGTGTCTCTGGCGGGATGCGAACCTGCAACCTCTCACTATCAAGGCGAGTATCATATCATTAGTCCACCAAAACTTATAGCTACAGATCTAATCCCAGGTACTTTCTCTCATACAACTGACACACACACAGTTAAAGTTAAAAGCACCGTAAACACAATATTTAAAAAATAGATAAATAATAATAACAATGGGAAACAAAAGAGATTGATTGCTGCCATTATAGTAATAAGCGTGAACTAAACGGTAGAGGACCAGTTTACAAATAATTTTTAAATATTATTTATATGCTTCATAACGTAAGTTTTAATATGTACTGTAGTTTGTAAATTTGTGTACTGTTTATGTATATTTTTCTTGTAGTTCTGAAGAAGTGCGTAATATATATATAGGCCTATATGTGCCTGTATATATATATATACATATAATATATATATATATATATATATAAATCAAGATAGCCGTTAACACGGTTAAATAATATATATAAATCATCAAAGAAAGGTAAATACAGTGTTCGAATAAAGGACATAACAACACATCGTGTAGCATAGCTCTCAACGTTGAGAGCTATGCTACACGATGTATTATGTCCTTTATTCGAAAACTGTATTTACCTTTCTTTGATGATATATATGTATATATATATATATATATATATATATAGGCCTAATGATATAATAGAAATAAACTCTAAATCTTCTTACTAATATGTAAAATAATAATATAATAGATAGGCCTATATTTCACATGTATACGTCGAATTCCAGAATAGAGTTGTATCGGCAACAATTGCCTGCAATTCGGATTCGAACTTCGTTGAATTTAAGTTGACTAAGGCGCCTGCATAGACATCAGGAGATTACGGGTTCAAATTTCAGTTGGACCGATTTCTTTACACTCGCAGAAGATGTGTATAAGAGACATCCGTTCT